CGAAGTGGGTGGGTTGGGGACGGAAGCCCCGCAGGCCTGGAAGGCGGAGGAGGTGGGGCCTGGGCCCATCCTGCCACCCACACCACACCGCACCCAGGGAGCAGGGCCCCTCCGCCTGCACAGGCCGGGTCACCTCTGACTGGGCCCTCCTCCCCCCGAGCTTTCGAAAACCTCAAAAAGGACCGGGAGCCCAGCGTCCGGGTCTTCGCCACCAGCCAGAGCCGCTTTCTCCAGGAGCTGGCCGCCGGACGGCAGTGACCTCCGCCACCTCCCCCACCCCCCATGCCGCCACCTGGTCCGCCCGGCCATAGGCAGAGTTTGGTAGCGTACATTTTTTCATTTGAAAGAAAGATCTAGATTCAACAAAGAAGCGTCACGCCTGTCCGCTCCCTGCCCACCCTCCCTGGGCCCCCAGGGGACACTGACAGGACCAGGGGACAGGGCCAGGCCTGGGTGTGGGGCAGGACAGGCCGGTCCTCCAGAGACAAGCGGAAGTCTGTGCGGGGCCTGCAAAGGACAGCCCCTCCCCGCCCGAGCCCGCACCAATGCCGCCAGGGGCCCTGGGCTCCGGTCTCAGTCTTCAGCGTGTCTCCGCTTGGAGCCCATAGTTACCAAGGAGGGGGCTGGCGGTGAGGAAGGGGTCCCTGGGCCGATGTCCCCCTCCACCTTCACCCCCATCCTGAGATGAGGATACCAGGCAGACGGGCCCGGGGGAGGCAGCAGAGCAGCCTGGGCCCAGAGTCAGACCTGCCCGGTGGGGCCTGGCCCCCCACTCAGAGGCTGAGGCCAGAGGGGGTCCTTCCTGGCAGGTCGCTGACTCCCTGGAGACCCAGCTGACCTCTGGGCCCGGGTTTCCCACTCTGCCCCTCCACACCCCCAACCTCAGAGGCCCAGCCTACCTGTCCCCTGTGCCCGGCCCCTCCTCAGCTCCTCCTGTGGCCGGGTGCCCCACCATGCCCTAGGGCCGTGGTCAGCAAACCGTGGCTCGCGAGCCACATGCGGCTCTTTGGCCCCTTGAGTGCGGCTCTTCCACAAAATACCACGTGCGGGCGCGCACGTACAGTGCGATTGAAACTTCGTGGCCCATGCGCAGAATTCGGTATTTTGTGGAAGAGCCACACTCAAGGGGCCAAAGAGCCGCATGTGGCTCGCGAGCCACGGTTTGCCAACCACGGCCCTAGGGCATGGTGGGGCGCCCGGCCACCGGAGGAGCTGAGGAGGGGCCGGGCACAGGGGACAGGTAGGCTGGGCCTCTGAGGTTGGGGGTGTGGAGGGGCAGAGTGGGAAACCCGGGCCCAGAGGTCAGCTGGGTCTCCAGGGAGTCAGCGACCTGCCAGGAAGGACCCCCTCTGGCCTCAGCCTCTGAGTGGGGGGCCAGGCCCCACCGGGCAGGTCTGACTCTGGGCCCAGGCTGCTCTGCTGCCTCCCCCGGGCCCGTCTGCCTGGTATCCTCATCTCAGGATGGGGGTGAAGGTGGAGGGGGACATCGGCCCAGGGACCCCTTCCTCACCGCCAGCCCCCTCCTTGGTAACTATGGGCTCCAAGCGGAGACACGCTGAAGACTGAGACCGGAGCCATGCCATTTAACAAAGAAAAATCAACCAAAAAAATGAGTTCGCGTGTCACCTCTGACACGCGTGTCATAGGTTCGCCATCACTGGCCTAGACAAACTCCTCGCCTGCCACCCCCACCCCCACCTGTTGGGGTCCTCGAGGCACTCGGGGCAGGGGTGTGGCACACGGGGCTGGCACAGAGGAGGCCCCCAACCTGGATGGTGGGTTAATACAGTGGCTTCACCCCGTGACTAGTCTGTACCCGTCCACATGCACGTCTCCATCCCTTCCCGTGTCGCTCACAGGAGCCGAGTCAGTGACATTCTAGTGACTGGCTGGGTCAGGTGGGTGTGGGTTACGTGCGGCCTGGTCACTGGGGCATAACTGGGACTAACATCCTATTGTACGTCAGCTTCACTGAAAAATAAAAACGACCCTTAAGTGGAAAAAACGCAGCAATCTTCCTGGAGCCACGCATTTACGTGTCCTCGGGCGTGTTTGGGGGCCGCAGGGAACCCCTCCCGCCTTCTCATCACCCGTCAGTCTCCGCCTGGAGCCCCGAGGAGAGGACGGCGGCTTCGACATCCAGCCTGGCGGGTGTGGTCTGGGTGGGGGTGCCATCTCCCTGTAAGGGGGCTTCCCTGGTCTGGCCTTTCAGCTGCCCTCTGCTGGCCTCTGGGTGGGGCAGGCAGGCCTCCTCGCTGCCTCCAGCCACTGTCCCTCCAGACAGCCAGGGTGAGGGAAGCCTGGAGCTGGTGGGCCTGCACCGGATGGGGTCCCTGGAGCCACTGGTGATTGGACAAGCCCCTCGGGAAACTGAGGCCAGAGAGGCTGAGTCTGGCCGTGGGGAGCAGTACAGTTCCGGCCTCGCAGGGCGGCCGGGCT